AAGTTGGTCGAGCAGAGTTGGGTAAAGGCGATACAATAGCTTTGGATAGAATGGCAGAGTTGGCTAGGGTGAACACGTGTGGACAGCCATTGTGCATCCAGGCGCTCGGAGGAATGGCTGGGGCAGTTCATGAAGCTATGCGGCGGGGGTTATGAGGCATGAATTACGAGGCATGGATTATGAGCGGTATGGCATCTTACGCAAAACGCGGCAGAGATCCAATAGCTATGGGTTGAATAGCATGGCATTCCATAGCATAGCGTCTCCCAGCATTACAAAGACGCTTAATCAAAACCGCACTGATCACATCCATTGCTCCCGCGCCTCCAAACATGGGCATATACCCATCCATCCATCCATCCACCCACCCTTCCAAATGCCACTACGTCTTCGCAGCCATATCCCGCCCATCATACCCTTTCTCCCCATCGTCGCCGCCTCCGACCCCGTCGGCCTTGCCCCGCTGGATGCGGCTCCACTCCTCCTGGTCGTCCGCCGCGTCCACATCGTTGGCCGTGATGCTGGCCGCTTCGTCTTCGATCTCTTCGGCTAGGATGAGGTTGAGGAAGATGGCGAGGAAGGCCGTTACTGGGTGGGATGTTAGTGGAGGGTTTGTATACGAGATCTCCCCTCAAAAGGAGATGGTGATTATGTTTTGGGGAAGGGGTTTGAGAGTCACGTACCCGCGAAACCGGTCTCGAGCACTAAGATAATGGCGTTGTAGAACCCCTGCTTGGACTGATTATCCCCCTTGTACGTGAAGACGAACGAGAACCAATTCGGGACCAAGATCGCGCCGAAGCCGAGTGACATTGATGCCGTCAGGATGAAGCGATTGCGCCGCGTGAAGGGCACGGTCGAGATGATGCGCACGCCCGACACGGCGACGGAGCTGAAGAGGAAGGTGGTCAGGCCGCCGAGCACGGGGTTCGGGATCGCGACGAGCGCGGCCGCGAACTTGGAGAAGACGCCCATGATGAAGAGGAAGAAGCATGCGGCGTAGCCGGCCTTGCGGTTCGCGCAGCGCGTCAAGGCGATGACGCCGTTGTTCTGGGCAAAGGTCGACATGGGGGTGATGGTGCAGAGGCCGGCGATGAGGCCGTTGAAGCCGTCGGCGAGGACGCCGCCTTGGATGCGCGAGTCGAAGAGCTTGCCTTCGACTTCGAGGCGCGACACGTCGCACGTGGCGGTGATGTCGCCGATGGCTTCCATCATGAGGACGATGTAGACGGCCATGAGCGGGAGGATGATGGGTGCGTAGATGCTCAGAGGGAACGTCTTGACCCAGACGAAGGAGACGGCGGGCGCGGCGTCAATGCCGGAAGCGGAGAAGTAGCCTGTGGCGCCCGCGATGATGCAGCCGACCAGGAGGCCGACGACGACGGCGCAAGACTTCATGATGGGACTGCCGAAGCGTTCGCAGAGGATGATGGTCACAAAGACGGAGAAGCCCAGACCGATGTATTCGGCGCTGCCCCAGGGGAGGGCGTGGGGTGCGCCGACTTGGGGACAGACGGTGTAGGGACCGCTTGTTGGACGGGTGATGCAGCCTGGGGTTCCGGATCCTCCGGCCCAGTCTTGGAAACCACTTTGGATCAAAGCGATGCCGATGAGCATGACGGTGGGGCCAGTTACGAGTGGAGGGAAGACACGCTTCAAGACTGCTGGTTTGGTGAATGAAAGGCCGATTTCGAGCAGTGAGCATAGGCAAGCGGTGCCAAGTAGAGCGCCGTAGCCTTGAGGACAGGGTAATTTGGTCCCATCGGCAGCTGAAGGACAGAAGCCAGTGGCGTACATCTGTGCAAAGGCACCTGTGGTGACCGGGATGATGGAGAAGCTTGTTCCGACTACGGAGATCAAACCGGTGCCGATATAGTAGGGTGACTTGTATATATGGAATCTAGTGATCTGTATTGAAGATAGGATGCCACCGACGATCAATGCTGTCGATACCAGATACTGTGTATCACTTGCCCCTAAGCCGGCGCCTCCTTGACCGGCGATGATTATAGGAGGGGTGATGATACCAGCCAACATGGATAAAGCATGTTGGAAGCCTAATAGCAGAGCGAGGACGACGGGCATGCTGTCATTGAGACCGAAGAAAGGGGCTGCTCTTTTCGATTTTTTCATGAATGGTAGGTTCGGTTTGAACAAGAAGGCATAGTCGTAATCGCCAAACAAACCCTCCCTATTCCGGATCAGCCAATCACAAGTGAGAGCTTGCCTCGATTTCCTTACTTTGTTGTCAAAGCTCTGACGATGCCCCGGGACTTGTCTGCGAAGGTGGCTTTTGGGGTCATGTCGGGCCCAATACGATCGGGTGAGTCGTCCATTGTCGGAGAAGAAGACTTTAAGTTTGGAGTGCTTAAATGAGAAAAGACAGTGATCGCCAATCTTTCGATAGATTATAGTAGTATCTCATGAGTTTCCAATGGTCCTAGCTGAGCGACTGTGCAAAACAGATGATTAGGCAGAGACTTTCTATTTTGCTTGCGAATTGAGTGAGATATGGATGGCAGAAGAAGGGTTTTTGTATGTGAAGAATACTGTTATACGTGACCATGGACGCAAGCCGCCGATCTGCTATGTCAAAAATTCAGTATTTTGAAAATGTGGAGAAGGTTGAATGCGATAGCGAATCAGTGGGTCGTGCCGTTTGATTGGCGTCTGGAAATGGCTGCATGGAAGAAGAAATGTGCGGTGTTCTAGCCCTACATTCGAACGATCTGACCAGGCCAAGGTATAAAATGGGAGAGCAGAAGGTGGTACCGATAGGACGTCGGCCGATCCCGTCGATCTTCCATGCGAGATTCATCTGACACAAAATGCAAAATATTAATTATAGTCAAGATAGAGTCGTTCGGCATCTAGTTCACGAAATCCGGCACCGAATCATGGCACAGCTATTCATCTTTCGGCCGACTCCACCAACCTTGACGCGCCACGCGGGAGAAAAGTTGATATTCCATCTGTCCCAGAAAAGCTATTGCTCCGCGTTCTCTGGCTGCTGGATATCTAAACACGCTCATTTGGGCAATTGAACACGCGATGTAATCCGTTAGTTTCACTGCTTAATGTAAAGATGCTCCCCGGTCTCCAACACGTTGACTTCGTCGCCAACCCTGATTCTGCTGTCCTCCGATGCCGGAACCATCTGCATCCCCAGACACGCGTTCTTTGGGTCTCCAGCGTCGATGCATCGAAAGTCTTTCAGCGTCCTGTTTGGCTCCGAACCGTGCCTCTTACCGGTGATGGGATTGACATTCGGCAGCAGACAACGTACGGTCCGGCAGGAGACGTAGTATTGATAACCCCCTATCCTGATCCGCTTCCAACAGTCTTCTTCATACGCGCCACCTCCCGTGATGACGATGTTGGGTCGGAAGTTTCGAGCGCTGAGTGGTGGAGCGCCTTTTTGAAGCTTATCCCCAACGTCACGAACACTTGCGAGGTTCAAGATATGTAGTGGGTAGGCATCCTGGAAGCCTACTGTTGGCTGGTAACCAAGCTTATCCTTCCGAGGTGCACATCGGTAGACTTCTCTTGGCTGATCGTCCTTTGACACTCGAAAGAGAGCAAAGTGATTTGTGATTCCAAGGTATGATCGAAGCTCTTGTATCCAGCGGTCGTCCTTCTCTGTACTGGCAATAATGAGCGACCTGGGTTTGTCTTTCCATATCTCCATATCGTCGACCGCGTAGCCCTTGTCAGAGATCTGCTCTTGTGTGGGATTGAACGGTATATGGACCTCCTTCTCGGGCTGCGCAGACACCAGTGCCAGAAGATCTTTGACTTTTCCCATGAAACCTTCCTCGCATTGGATGTGAGGAAATTTGATGACAAGGACACCTCCACTCCGAATGTTCGGATGCCATTCCGAGTACGTTGGGGAAGATGAGTCGGGCACCCAGACCTCGGTCTTGATTGTAGCCATTGGTGGGAGAGTCCTCTGGGTGATGAACTTCCAAGTGTGCTTCGCCTTCTCTTCCCGGGGTGTGTTGGCGCTCACTGGGAACTTGCTGGATAGCTGTGCAAAAGAGAATTGACGGTCGTATTCCATGCCCGTGCCAATCACCGTTCCCGTTTCAAGTTCCACGCCTCGGCAACTTTTGACCGGGTATATCCACAAGCTCTTGACTCTCCATGTAGCTGAACCTTTATGTTGCCCCGCCACGGCACCCTTGTATCGCTCATCAAATTCATCGGCCAGGTAGCTTGTGCTGCCCAATCCAAGCTTGCGGCAACCTTGGGGCTTGTCTCGCCGGCTGTGTAGACATGATGCTTTGAGTAATCCCCAGAGTAGAACAGGCACGAAGCAAGCAACGGAGATGGCAATGTAAGTGGTCAATGACGGGTCAATCCTGGGTACGTGGGTTGCAAATCCCAGGGACTGAAACGACATTTTGAGACTGGATAATTGGTGACAGTGTTGCCGAGAAATGCCAGCAATGATGCCCCTTGTATGGTGTTTCGTTTCGGAGTCCGATGGACACAGTGAGACAACGTCATGAAGAGCCACAGGTCATGGTCAAATCCAGTCTCAAGGGCGCTGGGGAATTTGGGCATCTAAATGGGGCCCCCAGGCTGTTGCTCCTGTGTCAAGGCTGGGGCCGTATCCTTCTGACGAAAGAATCGAGTGTATGATATGTACCATGGCGGTCAGCATCGGTAAGCAGAATGTGTGGAGGATCTTGACTAATGCATCTTGAAATTTCTCGCTTCGGCAGTCACGCGTAGGAGAAAAAAGTTCGTGAGCGATCGGCGCTACAGTATTCTTGGCGCCAAGCCAAGACGCTTGAGCCGTGCCCTCTAGCATACTCTCGACTAGAATGTATTTTCAAGTCTTTGATTCAATAGTATTGATACCACAGTCACCTTTGCTTCACAAGGAAGCTGTGTTCAAATTACAGTAGACCACCATGGCTGATTCAATAGACAGCCAGACGCTACGTAGAGGTGGAAGAACCGGGGACTACTCATGACCACAATCAATCAACATGGCCAGCTCCGATAGTAACAATTTCTCATCGTCTTCTCCTCGTACGTATTATCAGAGTTTCTAGCTCTCTCGGAACTGAAAATTGCAAGACCGTCTCCCGACAGTATCTGCCTCCCAAGCGCTCCAAAACATTTCGTCGACTCCAAGAAGGCCAATCCCAACAGGACTGAAGAGCCTCGATGCCTTCTTGCAAGGCAGAGAGCATGAGGACTCAAGCCAGACTGTTCCTCCTGTTGGTATTCCACGTGGAGAAGTGACAGAGATATATGGTCCTCCTGGAGTTGGCAAAACGACATTAGCGTGTGTAGATCGATTTCTTTGTGATATCAACTGTGCAGATCATGCCCCTTTGCTCTAACAAAGTCAAGCAAGATTGTGGGCTGACACCATGTTCTTACTCAGAATGCAAATTACTGCAAACGCTCTCCAGTCGGGCGGATCCGTTGTCTGGGTAGGTAAGAGATCTTGCCCAGTAGAGCCATTGGTGTGAACAGAACCACCAGCTCTGACCTTGGTTTGTAGATGCGTCCTACGAAATAACCGGTTCAAGGTTAAGGGATATCCTCTCCGTTGGCCGTATTTCTGAAGGAGAGGCAACTTCAGATCCCGCGTCGGTTGACCGGTATCTCGAAAAGTTCCATCATTTCATCACGCCATCGTTGCCTCATCTACTAGCTCTCCTGGCTCACCAATCTTCAACCTTTCCACCTACAGAGACCAATCTCGTAGTAGTCGACTCCATATCGACTTTGTTCGCCTTGGCTTTCCCGAAGACAGCGGAGAATGCAAGCAGCCAGCAGAACCCGATCAGGAAAAGCGACGCGGGTCAATGGGCGTCAGGCAGACGTTGGGCAGTGATGGGTGACTTGATCTCCAAGATCAGCAGACTCGCCGCAACGAAAAACATTGCAATCCTCTTGACGAGTCAGACAACTACAAGAATCAGATCAGAGACTGGCGCCGTGCTACATCCAGCCATCTCTGGCACGGGGTGGGATACGGGAATTAGTACGCGTATGGTGATCTTCCGAGATTGGGTTTTTCAAGCATCAGAGACTGCGAGTAGTCAAGGAGAGTACATACCAGGTGTAAGACTTGCCGGTGTCATGAAAGCCAAGGGTATCTCGTACGAAGGCGTTGGCAAAGTGGTCATGTTCGTGATAGAAAAGGTGAGTCCTCTCGACGGTAGTACGAAAGTATTTCTAAAAGACACAGACCCGTCTCCGGGAGATTACAGTGGACCAGACAAAGATCAGACTAAACGGATCGCCCGTCTTGCCAGCTACATCTTTGAAGCGTAAACGAGGAGAGATTGCCAACAGTCAGTCAGGGGACGAGGACCCAGAATCTGACCGAGAGTTCGGCTGGGCTGCAGACGATGATATACGGACCACGGAGGCGCTGCTTGAATGATCCCCCATCTCTCCTATACTACGCACACAGCCTCGGCTATCTAGCGGCTAGTAAGCTACTCCGGGCACCATCACAGTGGGCGGTCTCTCGAGAAGCGGTAGTATCCCCAGTATATAAGCTGCACTTCCCCGCCACGTCTTCTACAGTTTGCTAGCAGGGATGTTTGGTCCTTGGAGCTGGAAGACTTACAAGGGTCATAGCGCGCAGAAATTGGGAGACTTGGATGACCAAGACAAGAATCGTGACTGGTGCCGCTTAGACACTCGGTCGATCAGAAGCAGCACACCAAGTTCGCGACGCATATCATCGGTCAGGTCATTAATGGGTTCAAGGACTGCAAGGGGGACCCTGTAGGATTCGTATACTATATACTTGAGATGGGAAGTTGCAATTACCTTTCGACACCAGGGACGTTTCGAGGACTCCGAGATGATGTCGAGGTGTGCGCCAAAAATCACAGCCAAAACAGTGCATCGGTTGCACCCTGAGGTTTTGAAGTTGAGATTGACACTGCCATATGTACAGTTTGATCGGGAATATCTTCATACCGCATTGGCCGAGGAAGCAAAGGTGTATGAAGATGTGACGGCTGCCAATTGGGCCGTCCACCCGGAGGCATTTATGGCTACTAGCGTTTCGGCAAGTATACTCAGTGAGCTCGCTTTTCTAGACGAAGCCGAGACACTTGAAGTTCAAGTTCTAAAATCGAACATGATTACCCTGTATGAAGATTACCCAGACACGCTGCCGACGAAGGAGAATATCGCGGTACTATATCGGCGAAATCATACCTATCAGACGCCAGGACCATCCAAAGGGAGGTGCTTGCCACACGTCAAAATCTGCTCGGAGAGCTTCACCCTGACTCACTTACAGCTTGAGCCAATTTCGCACAGATCCTCCATGAGAGAGGGAACCATGAAGCCTCGTTCCTTCTCATGAATGGAGGTTTCAGAGACGGGAGTCCGTACTAGGAGCGTCACATCCATCAGTGATTGATGCTTTGAGAGACACTGCTGCAATTTACAGCTCACTAGGATGGTTGACCGAAGCGGACAAATGAAAGTCAAGGTTCTTGACAGTTGGAAGATCCATTTGGGCTCGATCCATTCCAACACGATTCTAGCGATGCAGAATTTAGATGGCACCTACATGCAATAACAATAACGAGGCGGAAGACTTGATACAGGTTGAGGCCAATATTCGAAAAAGGCAAGACATTCCCGATGATCGTCAATTGATGTTAGCTATGGAAGACCTGGCGATATAGCACAGTGTTCAAGGTTTACTGCCACAGGCTTTGGAGTTGCTATGCGAGGTGCATGAAGGCAGGGTAGTAACCCTAGGCCAATCACATCCAGAAACACTGAGATTTGAACTGATGCTTGAGGGTCTTTCGTCAAACGGAGGATGATCATCGGAGTTTTATTGTCTGACATGGATATGGTACCAATCTAAGAGAATAGAACGGGGAATTCGTCACGAGTAGCTTTGTTACTTTTGTCAGCCAGCCTTAGTGCAGCTTTTACTACGTCAAAGAGGTCCCCACTTCGTTTCCTGATTGCTTCTTCAAACATGGAGAGAGCAGGTCCTCATCGAGGTTGTTGGAATTGCAGAGATGTCAAGATCAAGACCTCCCTGCCTGCCAAAACTACATACAGCCGAGGGGAAACTGCTTAGGGTACGGACTACGGCTGTCATGGCCTCAAGCCTCGGACCGACGCAGGATAATTATCTCAAACCGGCGTACTCTTCCAGCTTAGCAAAGGCTGTCATTCGGTCGACTACGTTTCCTGAATACATCGACTTGGGACATTGATCTCCACAACGAAATCATGCAGACTGGCGACCACAGGGGACATATCAATTCCGGAAGTCTAGGTCCACGTTCGTCTCACACTATATCCAAACCAATGAGTACGTCATGGGGAGGCCTTAAAGTGGGAGATCAAATTTTACTGTCATACTATGAGAGCGTATTGTCCCGAATGATTACCACAGTTGACGACGATCGCATTGGCTTTCGTCATGTCTTGCTCAGGCTGGCTCTTTCCAAAAAATCTGTATCTTCTATAGCGGTCGTTCAGGGCATACTTGCTTTCTCCACTTACCATCTGTCAACCCCGCGACCGATTCTACCAGCTTGCCGCGAGCATGGTCTTGTTCATCTACGGGGTAAAGTTGCTTTTCAGTTTGCTCCTGTGGTATGTTTAGGGTCGTGCGCGCGAGGAATTTCATTCGCTACAATGATTGCGACATTTGATGTGTTATTGACGTTGCTACTCCTTGGGGCTAATTTGTCGCTACTTGAAAAGGTGTTCAACACTTCTGAATCTCGATGGACCATGTTCTTCTGTGGCGCGAAAAAGGTTGGCAGATCCATCTTTGCCGGCACCCACAATTACGACGGCGAGTCGGCATTCCTACTTGACTGGGTGTACGGGCAAGATACACTTAGCATGTTCAGCTTGCTGTTCTGGCCACGGAAAGACATAGCACGACGAAATCGTGGAAAAGATCCCTACCTTTTGTCCAAAATTGAGGACTCTCCTCATCGCAGCCTCGTAAGTCCGGCTCCAGACTCAGCCCTTATGCCTTCGCTTCGCTCATATGAGAACCTGACGTGAATGGCAGATTGTGGGATGTTTGGGCTGCTCGATTGAGGTGATGAGCATCGTATCGAGACTGAACGAGACGATTCCAACGGACGACAGTACGAAGCCTGCTCCATCTCATACTGAGGCTCTTAGACATCTCGAGCAGCGCCTACGATCTCTTCAACAGTTTATGACACCTCAAGGTCCCACATTCTCCACCACCAGTAATCAGTCTAGCATTCTAGATACTGCAGAACTCTACCGCACCGCGGCCCCGATCTTTCTTGAGGGAGCATGTTGGCGAACGTTAAGATGCGCCCCTGAAGTAGAGCATCTAGTCGAAGCCGGACTCACGATTCTGCAAAGGTTCAAGTCTGCACAGTCGTGTGGCCATTGTTCATCATCGCATGTGAAGCGAAGACCGATGGACAGCGGAAAATAGTACTCGCAATCTTGAAAGCTTCGAGAAAGTCTCGGAAAGCCGGAAACACTTCATGGGCCCAAGGAGTGACTGAGGCCGTGTGGAAACAAGACGATCTCTTCACGTTTGCTCACCTTCTCACAGCTGCGGTACCATTTCTAAGATACGGGTCTATCATAAGCGCCAGCAGTCAGCTACCAAATTTTACATGATAGTCCAGTGGGTGGCTCAAGGAGCTTTTCAAAGCCACTGCTTGTTTCCAAATTGTGAAACGAACGTCCCACCGTTGCCGTTGCTGATGCTACTTGTTTCAAAAAGCTTCAACATGAGGTTTACAGATTCCTGAGGCGTAATTGGACCCGTAAAATGTGGTGCATAGGCTGCGAATTTACCCACCACATCTTGAAACGCTTTCATGTCCTCGGCATTATCGGAGCCTATGATACGTCAGACTGTTTTACTGCAATTAGAACGACATTCAAAACTACTCACTTGGCACGAGTTCCCCCGTGTCCACAAGACCCGGGCTAATAGCCATGAACAAGATTCCCTCACTTTTGTAAAGCGCATTGTACTTGGCAACAGCAACGTTGACGGCGCCTTTGCTGATGGAATAAGGAGCAGAAACAGCGATATCCAATTGGTTAAGAAAATCGACATCCGCCACGCCAGTTGACAACGTGAAGACCTTCTTCTCTCGACCTCTACGAAGCAGAGGGATGAAGGTGTTGACGGTGTTGATCACGCCGATGACGTTGATCTCGAAACTGACTTGGAGGTCCTTGATCAGGGTCTGGGGATCATCGGCGCTGCAATGCGTTGGCCATGTTGGCATCATTCTTTCTTTCACAGATCAGGGGATGAATGGGTGTGTTGCGAACTCACAAATCGCCCAGAGTTCGGTAGCGACTCGTATTCGAGATCAACGCGGCATTGTTGATCAAATAGTCGAGACCGCCTCCTGTCAATCTCGCCGTCTCTGTCGCTGCCGACTGGAAGATGATCAGCCTCCATCCAGACAGTTCAGAAAATGTTACGGCGCTCGTATTCCCACCTTGAGAGCATCAAGATCCGTGATGTCCGCCTCCAAAAAGCTGAGATTCTTCGGCACAGCTTTTCCGAAAGCTTTCTCTGCCGCTGTTTTGTTGCGAACAAGTCCGATGACTACATTCTGCGTATCGCTGGATAGGGTGCTGACGAATTGGAGCTTTGTAAGGGAGGGGAGACGTCAGTGACACGTCTCATTTATGGTGAGCGGAGACCTACACCCAGGCCTCGGGATGCTCCGGTCACGACGTAGGAAGGCATTTGGATGCTGAATACTATGGCTGATACTGTATCGAATGCGGTTGTCAGAAGGGTAGAAAGAACAGTGTATGGTGGGCGGTCTTAGGATCCTTATATGCCTTTTCTACTACTCTACGTCTCCGAACCCCACTTTGCTGCTGACAACACACCACGTGGGATGAATATAGCTATCGCTTGATCCTTCTGCTTTCCAAGCGTAAATATTATTAATCCCAAGCGACCAACGAGGAGCTCGGGTTTGCGCTGACTAATCGCAGTTTCTTGCCGCTACTACTTTGATTACCAATGGAGGCGCAAAACGCACGTCGGAGCTGTACGGTGGGGGTTCTGAGAGGCCAATGGCGAAGACTGGGAGCAGCAGTGCGGGGCAGATGCTGCGTGATCCCGGTAGTACGATTGGAGTGGCACGTCATCTGATAGACATATTGGGGATGGATGTTCATGCTCAGAGTTTGGATGTCGTTTTCTTGTATTCTCAATGTCTGGCTTTGCTGTTCTCACGATCGGTTCCATCTGTGGACGCTTCCTGTTATAGATGACGGAGGTGGAATTGTCAATGCTGTTGGAATTGAAAGTGTCTATTCTAACATGCTATCCCTGCTCATGTGCTCGCTCTGCTTCCTCCCACGAACATCGATCGCTTGTCGACGAAGCAGACTCCTCCTGATCACTTCCGGCCCGGGCTCCTTCCAACATCTGACCAAATCCAGTAAGAAGACTATCAGTCACTCTATCACCTCGCTATAGCAATCCCTTCTACCCTCAACTCCTAATAATACGAAAAGCGGTTTCGTGGGTAAACGGACTGCAGCGGTTTGTGACTGGCAGTATCTGTACTGCTGCAGTCGCATACGCTGATTGTTGCATATAGGCCCTGGTGGAGCTGGCGTTCTCCACACACGAGGTGAAGTATCTAGGGATCCGCGATGGTTGTCGGTGAGATGGACATTTGTAATCACAAATATCCTTGTCCTTAGCACTCACACTCCGCAACAAACCACAGCAAAATGAATGCCCCCTAGCCACGACTTTCCTCCTCCACCATTACTATAGAAATCACAATACCTTCAAAACCTCGTCCAGATACCCATATTTCCGCGACAAATCCCCGTTTCAACCGTACAGGTCCGTGAACTCGGTCCTGGCTTTTGGCGCCCTTCCGTCCTGGGGTTTGACGCCTTTCCAATGCGTGGTATGAGCGGGCGCGGTTGAGCTTCGCCCCGGATTTCGGTTCGGAATGACGTTGGTTGCGTACGTATTCGAGTTGTTGGTTGTGATGCGATAAATAATGCCGACCCGGGCGACTTTGGGAGAAGGGGATTTGCATCAGTGCAGCGCTGAATCGTACGATACCTGATGTCATGCTTTTTTCGAACTCGGTGGCATGGTTGTGCACTACCCCTGTTGCAGACTCCCTTCCGGTGGTCATTCTTAGCGTTGGGGCGGGTCGTTTTGCTGTCTGTCTTTGTTTTGATATAGATGGTTGTTGGATTTCTGGAGCGCTCGGTCTGTTGGTGCTGGATGGCCGATGTGGAGTGGAATGGGAGGGCTGGAAGATGGCTGCATGATATGATTAGTAGACAGCTGTCTCGTGTTCTTGAACGTGAGTCACGTGGCGACTGCGCTGATGTTCCACGCCGGTTGGCAAACATCGCGACTCGAGAATGTACTCGCTTTCTCTTTCGGGACATGACGGCTGATAGTCGCAACTACATTACAAAGGCGCTGGAGTCGACGATATTTATAACTACCATCTTTGACGTAAAGCATACCGCTGAATATCAATATATGGGTTGTGCTTATCTTGTAGTCAACATAGTTAGTCAACCAATAGGGTTGAGATGACTTCATTTGCGGATGGTCCATATGGCAATGAATGGGTCAGCAAATAGGAAGCATCGCCGATTACCTCCATCGACCTCTATCTGGACGTGAGAACGATCTAATACAATCAGCCATCATTGGCCGCTCCCGTCTAACAATATTGTCGCTTGTACCTGCATATTCGACAACGCCTACCTATCATCATCGTCAACGTCTCTTCCGACCGGCACATACTCATAGATTGCACTTTCCTTACGCGACTATGCGTCCGCGTGTCGCGATTTCGGGTCGGGCCTTTGTGGTGGGTACCTGAATGTCGAGCGAATTGGTGGAATTTCATCTTCGCCTACGCGACCCCACAATTTTGTCAAAACAGCCCGCGGATTCCTGGTGCGGATCGTGGAGTTTCACATATCATACCGTGCATGTCCGGAGGAAGATCATCCCACTTTCCTGTTTGCCTGAGATAGAACCCTCGCGTCTCGGGGATCACTTTCTGCTCGAGTACGTCTCGTCATTATTACTTGAGTGAGTCTTCTCCCTGTTCCCTCTCTCCTCCTGCTGTCTTGCCTTCTTCTGCTCTCTTTGCCTCTAACGTCACTCGCTGCTCGGTCTTGAGATATTGTTCAAGGACATATGTGACCACTGTGTTGCAGTCAACGCTCGCTACCTCAACTCTGTTTACTCCCATGTTTGCTCAAGCTTACCCGAAGTATTGGTGATGATGCACGCTCTTTCCTTACTATGCACAATCGAGATCGCATGTTGCGTTTCGACCGCACTCGCAGCGTCCGTCCCCGTCCATAGCGAATCCACAAAATTAGCAGCTGGGACCCCACCCTCGCTCCCATTTGCGGCCCTCGACACTGTGAACCTGACAACGCCGTAAGTCCCTCCGACACTACCGACCCTTCTTCGCACTGTATCTTGTGATCATAACCCATCTCCAAAAGCCAAACGTCGCCCTGGCCAAGAGCCCCCTGGGCCTACAAAATCCCCGGCCACTCGCCCCAACACCTCGTCTTCGAAGAAATCTCCGCCGAAGACACCGGTCTCGAAGGCCAGCAGTCTACGCTCCACGCCTGTGACGAGGTTGTCCGCTGGCTGTGGGAAAACTACAAGGCGGATCAGAATATCGATCACGCTGGTGTGCAGACGAGTACATTCAGCGGCGAAAAGGAAGGCCATGTGGTCATTGTGTTTGTGCCCGTTACCGTGGGAGGCGCGATCGACAGAGAGCTGGCGTTGGACAGTGTGAGAGCGTTGGAGAGCCTGGTGTGGAGGTACGGCGGGCACAGTTTGGAGTGCGAGATTCTGTCGGGGGTGAAGCTGAAGGGGAGGATCTCCATTTCGATCAAGGTCTCGAACCCGACGAGTGAGGTGCATTCTGATACTGGTATTGATACTGATGCTGGGGCAACCAGCACGTCACAGTAGTATTGGTTGCAGACTCAGCATCAATGGGCAAAAGAACGATATAAAAACCAAGTGCACTCGGACTAGGAGTAGGATATCCATACCCTGTCAGCACTGCAGCTGAGGCCCTTTGTCCTAGTCAGCCTCGGTGACCGACAGGGTGTCAACGAGCCAGTATATGACGGAATGTGGTTAGGGTAGCATTTGTGAAGAAGGATCACCCTGTCAGCCAAGATCATGGCACCAGAGGGCTCGTATGCCAAAGAACACCTTCCCACGGCGTCCAAAGCCTCAACTAGTACATTGACTTTCAGGATAGGCTAATACAATGCGCCAGTATATATATTCTGTAAAATGGCCTGTGTTTTAGCACAGATTGTAAATCTTTTGTTGCTTTGCCTTGACTACGAGGCGCGCGTTATACCGGCACGCTCACGCGGCTTTTGCGTATCCAAAATTATAAATGGTTCGATTAGGCTCTTCTTTTAACTCGGGGTATCCCCATCCTGCGGCAGCACCGTAGCTCTGAAGCTATGAACGTGGTGGCTTAACCAATATCATCTCCTTAGTGTAGATTACTATGACGCCCATCGTCCATACCCGTGCCTTCATCGGAGTTGCTGTCTTTCTGACTCGGCCTCGCTTTCGGACCTCTAGGCCCCACACCGAAGCTCAGTATGGTTAAGAGGCGGTCAATATGCATGCATTCCAAACTCGCTTCACGACCGGACGCCCTGGTAGAATAGCATGTTTGAACTTGTGAGAGAGTACTCATCATGCTTTGTCTCAAGGCTAAATATTCAGCCTCAGCTTTCTCGACATCTTGTACCCTGATCATATGTGCCGCCATCCATCCATTGCTCATGCAAGCAGAAATACAAGCTCTCCCGCCGTAGAGATATCCTCCAGGTATCCCCATGTCCCACATCTCAGGTGTACGTCTCTCTGCTACCGGAACATGTACTCCCACTCTTAGGCATCGAAGCCGTAGCTAGCCTTCAGCTTCTCGACCAACTGGACGTAGTGCTGCTGGGCAGCAGAGGGTGTGACTTTGTCTTCGACAGCAACCTTCTTCCAGGCATTGTACTTGTACTTCTCCTGTATGCAGCAGCTATTGTCAATCGGCCGTTCATGGCAAGAGAGTGTGTTGGGGGAAGGAAGAGGAGAGGGTGTAATCAACGGACCTGGAAAGCGAAAGTGCCGGGCTGCGTGGCCTTTGAGAAGTCTTCTCCGGTTCCTTGCTTGTAGTTTGCGTAGAGCTGAACGTGATTGATCTATCAGCGTGTGCTTCTTCGACTCCACGGGGACACGAAAGGGGAGAGGAAGACGGTACCTCTAGAAGCTCGTCATTGTTGGGCTTTGCCTTGAGCTTGCGGGATTCTTCGACTGCTTTCTTGAACGCGGCGGTTTGGGCGACCATTGTTGCGGTTGGATTGATTTATGATATGTGGTTTTTGATGAATAGAAGCTGTATTGCTTGTAGGTGAGGCTTGTGCTGAGAATGAGCGGAGGATGAAGAGTGTAGCATAGTGGGGTGAGGGTCTTGGAATTGGTGGGTTGGACCCTGATAAGGCTGAAGGGCTGAAGCTTGTCAGTACCTTAGCCCTATATTCTTAATCATTGGGAAACAAAAAGTTCCCGCAAGCACCCCCCCTCGAAAACCAAAAATCGAAATTTCTTGAATATCTTCACAACCACCACTCTTTATAATCTAAAATTTTTATAATCTTTTCTCATAATACTTAATAATTAATGTTAAGAATTTTAAAAGATTTTAATTTCCATATCGTAAGATATAGTGTAAATTAAAAATATACGCTTTACAATGAAAAGTTACCTCGGCTATTCTATAATCGCCAAGACTTATCTAAAAAATCTTAAGAATTTAATAGATTTTTATTTTACTATATAGCAGATAATAAAAATATTTCAAAAATTAAAGATCTTAATCTTTATTATATCTTCTTATAGCTATAAAAAGTTTTAGAAAATTATAATCTATCGCTGTGAAGTTATTTCAGAAGTTTCATTTTTCGATTTTCGAGAGGGGGGTGCTTGCGGGAACTTTTTGTTTCCCAATGATTAAGAATATAGGGGTAGTCCAGTAGTCTTGGCGCTTCACGGGGTTCAACAGCTTCTTCACAGATGAGGAGAAAAAGTGCCAAATGTCATAGCATGTTATACTTGAACGGTGGTGTGTTGTGAAATACCCGAAATACTCTGTGTGACTAACATGAGCCGGATGATGCCCAACTCTCTTCCAATGTGCTTTCCACTATTCTCAGCCTCTGACCTTTCATATTCAGGATTCCCTTCTCTTTGAAAAGCATTTCTGTCATTCCTTTCTCTGCAAAGTCTCTGACAGTCTCTGATTTGATTTGCGTCGAGCCTTGCTTTATTGCTATAATATGAACCCTGCCGAGGAGTCTCGAAAGCGTAGGAATTATGATGCCTTCCAGTCGTCGAGGGACAGGTCTATATCGCCTCCACCAAAGAGACATGCATCCACTGTCAGGGGCAGGTCTGAAAGGGAAGAAGCCGGAACTTTGAGCGTAGTCAACGCGGCAGCTCCTTTCACGTTGTCTTCGGACAACGGCAACGATCCCTCCAAGTCAACCAAACAAGCGACAAATCCCCAGTCTAGGACGCTTTTCCCATCACCGATGCAGCTCAATTTCGTCGAGCAACTCCCTGCATCAAGCAATGTCGACTGCGTGAGTCTGGGGAGCATCCTCGGAGACCCTATGATTAGAGAATGCTGGCTTTTTAATTACCTATTCGACATGGATTTTGTTATGTGGGACTTGCTACTCGTATGGGAAACATGGCCACTAATGTGAATCCAGGAGACATTTTGACCAAGACACTCGTGATCTTGTGCAAGTCCGAGTCGTGCACGGTTCCTGGAAAAGAGAGGATCCAAACGGAATACACATCGAGGTAAGCCCATCTCCATCCCTTATTCGGTGCGTCATTCGACAAGAGACTAATCAAATATAGGACGCAGCGAGGCGATATCCGAATATCAAAGTAATCAAAGCGTTCATGCCAGAGATGTTCGGGACGCATCATACGAAGGCGATGGTCCTCTTCAGGCATGACGATCTGGCCCAAGTCGTGATACTTACAGCCAACTTCATTGAACGGGACTTCCGGATGAGTCAAGCCATCTGGAAGACCCCTCTACTTCCACTGCAGAAACACGCTTCATCTGCCAGCGATCCATTACCGCCTCTTGGTAGTGGACTTCGATTCAAACACGATCTACTCGCGTACTTCCGTGGATACAGCAGAAACGGGAATGCTACTCTTCCAGACTTGATCTCGCAGCTACAAAACTACGACTTCAACGCTGTAAGAGGCGCTCTGATCGGGAGCTTACCAGGACTTCAGACGCCGGACAAGCTCCAACCGGAGCAGCAAGGCCGAGACGGACAGTGGGGTTTGCCGGCTCTGAAGCGCATTCTGAGCTCCATAACCACCAATCCCGACCATTCTGCCGACTCGGAGCGTTCACATATCGTCGCACAAGTTTCCTCCATCGCTTCGGTCGGTGAGAAATGGCTCTCCACCACCCTCATACCCACCCTATCCACCACCGCCCCCACCCAAAAGCCCCTTCCCAAACCCAAAATATCCCTCATCTTCCCCACAGCCTCCGAAATCCGCAACTCCGTCGACGGCTACGGCTCCGGTTCCTCCATCCACATCAAGACCTCCTCTCCCACTCAAGCCAGACAACTCGCAGTCCTCAAACCCATGCTTTGCCATTGGTCCGCGCGCCCCACCCCCGAAACGCTCGATCCAGCCAACCCAAAACCAGCAAGACAAACAGGCAGGGGCAGAGCGGCGCCCCATATCAAAACCTACGTCCGCTTCTCCGACGCCGCCACGTCCAAGATCGACTGGGCAATGATGACCTCGGCGAACCTGAGCACGCAAGCCTGGGGCACCGGCCCGAACGCGCGCGGCGAGGTCAGGATCTCCAGCTACGAGTTGGGCATCGTCGTCTGGCCCGCTCTGTGGCGCGACCCCGCGTCTCCGCGCCCGCCCACCATGGTCCCGCTCTTTCGATCCGATATGCCCCCCTCCGTCGACCGTGAGCGGCTAGGGATCGATCATGTCGCGGTCGGCTGGCGCGTGCCGTATGACCTCCCTCTCGTCCCGTACGCCGGAGATGAAACACCGTGGTGCGCGTCGGATCCGTGCGATGAGTTGGATTGCATGGGTAGGGTTTGGCCGGGGTATGGGCGTTGAAGGGGATAGGACGGGCAGATGCCGTGCGACGATGCTGCTATGAGGTGTGAGGGGGTCCGCATTGCATCGCTGTGAATGTCTCTGAGAGGGTGTGTGCGGACGAGAAGTCGAGCCTCGGGTTTGTGCGAGGGGAGGATGGGCTTGAATGTACGTCACATGGACATGGAGATGGTTCGTTGACCGTAATTGCTGCGTATTATTAAGTGTACAGAATAAGGTCTCGATCCACAAAATCAAAACCTAAAAACCTTTCGTCGATTGATAAAGTGCCCTTGATCATGCCATGACCGCTGAGAATTCTCTTCGCGGAGATCCATATTATGGTATACGCGACTTCCCTGCTTCCTTTCATCAACAACACACCGTATCGTCCTCCCCTCTCTCCTTGCACTTCCGCTTCCCCCCGTCCTTCTCACACGCCCACGTATTATCCTTTTCCACCATCCATTGGTCTCCCTCCTTGAGACCCACATGCTGAATGTCGCATCCCTTATGGCCCCATTTCTGCTCGTAGACTTCGACGCCCGCGGCGATCGTCAGCTGTAAAGCTTTTTCCCACCCGTCGGCGTCGTAGTAGAAGGGCTCGCCCTTGCCGCCGGATTGTTTCAGTTGCCAAGAGTTGCGGTAGGGGTCTTTGCGTTTTTCGTCCGCGAGGGATTCGAGGGTCGTTTGTAGAGCTGTCCAGCCTCGGCCGCCAAGGGTGTCTTCTTCGGTTGAGGAGAAGTATTTGAGATTTTCCGGCGCGGTGGGTTGCTTGGGGGTAG